TAATAATAATAATAATAATAATAATAATAATAATAATAATGAAAATAATAAATAAAATAAAATAAAATAAATTAAATGAAAATAATGAAAATAAATAAATAAATAAAAATAAAAGCAAAAATAAAAATAAAAATAATGATTGTCTATGAGTCTCGTCTGAGGTTTGCCACTAAAAAATCCAAAATTTAGCTTTTCCTTGTCATTCATTATCAAAAAAAAAAGTCTCACTTCTGTTTGAAGTTGTTTAATAAAAAAAGAAGAATCAATTTCCTTATAATTCCTTTATTCTTGGATGCAGGCGTAGCCTCGTAGGCAGAGCTCCTCAATTTCGTTCCTCCATAAAACAAACCGAGGAGCACTAGGTACGAGATGGATGCGTGCGCATTGACCCAGAGAAAAAAGGCACACGCATAATCGACATCACAATTGCCCTGGGGGATAGAATCGCCAAATCCAATAGAAAATTCAAAAGAATTTGCACCTAGCGAAACAATTTAATCTAAAATGGCCTGGTTTTCAGATACAATATGTGTTAATATGTACTAAAAAATATTCCGAGCGTTTGCTGGCTATTCTACTTCTCTTCGTGGATTGATACGGGTTTTAGAACAATTTTCGGTGAATTTGCGTTGATTTGACCCCCTCCGACGACCATGATCCTTTGCGTTTAAACAATAGATTGTTTTGATGTGACGTCATAGTGAAATAAGGCAATTAAATGACAGGAATTTTACGTACGAAAGGGAGATTGGATCTCTCGGATGGTTATTAAAAGATATCGATCATTATCATCACTAGAATCATAAAAAGTTTCCATATCCTTGATTTTGTTTTAATAGTTAATAAGCATGGGCTGTATGACGGTGGATTTCTTGTTAAAAGAGATGGTGGAAAAATAATTCACTGCAATCAGAATCATATTTACAAAGATTTAAATTTTTGAACATAAACTATAAATAATATCAGTTTGTCAGTTTTAATTTCAACCAAGTTCCAACCACGTTGGTTTGGGGTATCCGCGAAAACAATTCAGAAATGTGCTTTATTTACGAGTCTCTCGTTGGTCTTTCATCTGGAAACGTAAAAAGCCCCAATAAAGTTGATCACATATTCCGTGATCCTGCTTATCCAATCAAAAACGTGCAAATTTTGAGGTATGTCATCCATGTCATAACGTTGTAGGCAGCCAACAAAAAACTGTGAAAAGCTTCGGGAACTGGTTATTCTAACCATATCCCAACTTCTCCAGAAGCCCGGCCAGCAGCCAATAAAATGACGTCATAATTGGAAGAAAGGATGGTTTTGTGAAGATAAGTCAGGTTTATCTAGCTTCTCTGATGGTTGTTCAAAATAGATGCTCCAAAGCTAGTAAGGAATAAATGAACCCTCTTGCCGTAAGTGAGCGTTATGTTTTCTCATTTAAGACCACGCGTCTTTCTCTTGAGTATTGTTCCTTTGGTGTTGGTAATTTCCGCAGCCGGCGATAAAATGACGTCATAATTGGAAGAAAAGTATGGAAATTCCTCACAATTTTTTCCAAGTGGACTTGAGCTTGACAAGTGATCTAAGCCGCCATCCAATGAGATTATAATTACGAAATATCCGCAAAGACGTTGGAACTGATTGTCTTGAGCTTGTCACGTGACCTAAGCTAGCCAATCCAGTACTTGCTACCGTAAATATATAAATCCTCCAAATTCTGTAAACCATGTGATTTGGAGCTTACCGCGTAATTCTCATACCAATCAATATAGCCAAAATGTAACATTAAAAATCCTTTTTAAAATATCCAAAATGCTTAAAAACACCAAGTGACCCAGAATAACAAATGATCTTGTTAATACCATGATGTTGTTAGTAGTAAATCACTCAGGTGGTGTTGATTACCTTACATTCGTTTATGATTCTACTGCATTGTGCTTGGCCATGGTCCTTCGTATAGACTTGACAACGCTATATGGGTCAACGTTAACGTTAGGCGTCTATAATGAAATGAAATTGGTCCAATCAAATGATGCAGAAATCACCAGCCAATCAAAAAAAGCAAAGAAAGGAAAGGAAAGGAAAGGAAAGGAAAGGAAAGGAGAGGAGAGGAGAGGAAAGGAAAGGAAAGGAGAGGAAAGGAAGAAATCATGATACTTACGCCAAAAAGCTCGATAGAACTTATGTCAGCGCGACTCCTACGAATTGAGAAAACCCATTTCATTTAGATGATATTAGGACAACTTTAGTCTACTGATAGGGGATAAGGGAATCGTACTACAAGTTAGAAATAAAGCTAGAGAATTTTATGGTCGAGACCTTGTCTAGTGCCTGCTTCACAGAGGTGTCCGACGAATAGAGGTTTTTTTACAGTAAATATTGGAAGAAATTTTCGGGACCGTACAACTAGTTGTCCGTTTAATGAAGGGTGACTGCTCAAGCATTCCGCTTAATAGAGGTATCACTGTGAATGCTTCTCATGATAAAAGATAGCTGTCATAATAAAGTTTTAAATCCTGACTTAAAGGTATAGCTCAAAAACAAACCGGGGGTCCTGTGGAAGCTTTATGAAGAGAAAGACTTGGAACAAAACACGTGATACGGTCCCTTCATTCCACAGGGATCCCATGTGTACTTACGATGTAAGTGCTCCTCTGTAAACGACTCTCATTATCATAGGAAGATCACCATTCTCAGGTTTTGGGATCTGCTCAAAACATAACATGAAGTTTAATATTATTGCAGAGTCCCTCCTTATGGAATACAAGCGTTTTCATCGACCTTAAGCCCAAGTGAATGGAAAAGGAAAAWTTTAATCCTTGTTCTTGCGCTTGTGATTGTGGGTTTTTTGTCATTATATCAGGACTCTCGTGCTTGTGCTTGTGTTTGCATTGTTAGTGAACCGTGCATCAAAGCCATTGTTCGCAACAAGTAGGCTATCTAGTCAAAACTCAGACATCCAGTATTTTCTATTCACGTCATCCGATGGTAATCGCACTTCTAAACTTACCATCTTTGGAAAAACCATGCCTGCGCTCATGGCATACAGTCCCATGTCATCAATGTAAGCTGTAATACAAATGAGAGAAAATGAAGTCCAATAAATAAGAAAGTGAGAGAATGGATAATTGGATAGAGAGATAGGAGGAAGTTAGAAAAGTGGGAAGAAAGGGAGGGAGGATAGAAAGGTAGGACAGAAGGGTGGAGGGGGAGGTGGGGAGGGGGAGGAAAGAGAGGTAGGACAGAAGGGTGGAGGGGGAAGTGGGG